AAGGAGTACACTCTAAAATAGTCATAAAAAGTATAGTGAATTCATAAACTAGTAACATAGTTCTTACCATTATCAAGTATTATGTACTGTACATAATGGTATGTGCTATACTTTCACATGACCGGCAGTGCAGTAGGTTTGTTAACACCAGCGTCATCCTACACCTGTAAGTAATGAGTTGCGTTATGACCTTATGGTGGCTACCGTGTCACTAGGTGACAGACATTTTCCAGCTCCATTATCATCTTATGGGGCCTCCCTCTGTTTGCAGTCTGTTGTAGACCAAAATGTTCTTATGTGGCACATGACTGTAGTTGCAATACAGGACAAGAAAGTTGCACAATAACTGGCCTTAGTTCCTGATACTTAGTAGTTGGATGACTTTGAGCACTCTAAGGTTGTTTCCTAATAAGGTAAAATAGGGAAGCTAATCGTGATCCGGTTGTCTCACAGGTGTTGGGCCCTGGTCAACATATCAGTTACTGTGTAAATAAATGAGTTGATATAATTTAAGATTGTGTTGAATCATAAACGTTATTTTAACATTAGTGTTTTTTAGAGGTTATGAAATGAAAGTGGGGGGGGAACCTTGGTCTGCATCAGGAGCTGAATCATTTTACCACGCTGGGTGCTGGGTTAGACGTTCCCCACCCAACAGATCAAACTCTTAACCCAGCATAAAAGATAAACTACAACTCCCGGCAGGCGTTGCTTCCGAACTGCGTCATATAACCTCGGCTCGGCCCGGGCCCAGACCGCTCCCTGCCCCCGCCGCCCATAAACTACTACATCTCCCAGGAGGCCCCAGGGCGCCTGATCGTCCGCTTTACCCCCGCCCCCTGCCTCCCCTTCACCCCGCGCCAACAGCTCGGTGGCCGAGTCGGTCCCGCGGCCGGCGGATCGAGCGCGCGCGTCGGGGGGTCGTGCGGCTGCCGGGCAGGGCGAGCACGCGCCGGGAGGCCTTGGAGGCGTAGGGGGCGGGGGTACGGCTCGCCTGCTCGCAAGATGGCGGACGAGGACAGGGAAGGGATTCACCCCTCAGCCCCTCACAGGAACGGAGGTGGCGGCGGCGGCGGCGGCGGGGGTTCTGGGCTCCACTGCGCCGGGAACGGCGGCGGGGGAGGCGGCGGCCCGAGGGTCGTGCGCATCGTCAAGTCCGAGTCCGGCTACGGCTTCAACGTGCGGGGCCAAGTGAGCGAGGGCGGGCAACTGCGGAGCATCAATGGAGAGCTCTACGCGCCGCTGCAGCATGTGAGCGCCGTGCTGCCCGGGGGGGCGGCCGATCGGGCCGGGGTGCGCAAGGGGGACCGCATCCTGGAGGTGTGAGTATCGGGGCTGCCCGGCGCCCCACCCTCCCCGCGCCCCTCCTCCTGCCCCTGCGTCTCCTCTACCCTTGTCACCCCCAGGCCGCACCTCCCCCGAGCTCCTAGCTGGCCTCGCGACCCCCGCCCCTCGGGCGTCCGCAACCGGGCCCCTCCTTGTGGGTAGCCCTGCCCCCACCAGCCCCGGGGCTTACGCGACGCCAGTCTCCCACCCCATCGTCTCCAGCGGGTGCCCTTGCGCCCCCAGTGCTCTTCCCTTTGCCCCGATTACTCTGGGCTCTTCTCCGCCCCTTTGCTTTCCCATTTGGCGTGCTGCATTCTGCTCCTCACTCCTCCTCGCCTTGCTCAGAAGGAACCTCATCTGTTTCTTACTGACGGCGTTCCGTTTTCTGACCCAGCCAGTACCTTGTCCTCTCCAGGTTCTCATATTCAGCATCGCAGTTTCTCGTTCTCCACCACTTCCCAGCCCCCGCCTCCCCCCACCCCCCATGAACTGCCCCTTCTGCCCTCCAGACCAAGAAGGCAGGACCTCTGTTCTGCTCCTACTTTTCCTCCGGAAACACCTTCCCTCCCTGCTCCACTGCTTTTTCTTTCCTTAGTTATCCTCTCCTTGTGGTTAAGCCTCCCCTAAATTTTTCCATCCCACCGTGTGCCCCTTTCCTCCTCTCCTTTTTGCATTCCTACTCCAAGAGTTTACCTTGTTTTCTGACCCTTGCATGCCTTTGGGGTGGGGGGCGTGGAATTTGACACTGTAGTTTCTCTTCTCGGTTGGCACTGTATCACACCCTAATTTGGAATCTAGTGTCTCCATCAGCACAGCCCTCTGATAGCATCCCTGCCCTGGCCCCCCCGCCCCCGCCCCAGCATCCCTGCCCGGCACCCCCCCCCCCCCCCCCCCCCCCCCCCCCCCCCCCCCCCCCCCCCCCCCCCCCCCCCCCCCCCCCCCCCACCCCCCCCCCCCCCCGCTTCACTCCTGCTCTATCCTCACGCCTCCTTCTAGTCAGGTTTCTGGTAGAGCCCCCCTAACTCCTCCTCCTCCCAAACTGCAAGCCCTTTTGAGTCTTTGGCCGCTCTGCTTTCTTAGGGCTTGCCTCTCTCTGCTGCGTCTTCTACTCTATCCTCCTGTGATCCCACACTTGACTTTGTCCTAGCCTTTCTCTCCCCTAGGCTACTTCTCCTTTCTTCTGCTTTTTTTAAGGCGCCTTCTGCTGCTGCAGCCCACCCTCTCTCCCCTGCTGCAGCCCCTCCCCCTTCATACTCCTTCCCCACCACATCCCTCCAGTCTCTGGCAGGATGCTGCCTTGTCTTACAGTCTCTGTGCACACCTCCTCCACTACCCTAATCTAGATGTTACATTTGCGTTTTTGTGCTTTGCATTGAAATTCAGTTAGTGATTGCAGGTTGACTTGCAGGTGGTGTGTGCTCCCATCGTCTCCGTTCTCCTCAGCAGTCTTCCGTGCTGCGTTTCTCCTCACTGAATCTACATTTGGCATTCCTTTTTTACACTTTTACTCTCTTCCTCCATGTTTTGATTTGCCCACGTGAAATCTTTCTGTTTCTACAAATTTTATTTTAATTGTAATTTCCACAACCTTTCAGTTGCCTCTTGTAAAACAGTAGGTTTGCAAATGGGATAGTCTCTTGAAAATCTGCCTTATGAAGAAGTCCTTTTTTTCTTACTCATCTTGTGCTCCCTGCAGTTATTCTTGACATTCTTACTCTGTGGTATCCACTCATTCTGTTTCCTCATCTCTTCCACCTCAAGAAATAGTTGGTATTAACCTGGGAAAGCAGATTAAAAAAAAAAATAGAAGAAGAAATAGTTGCTTACTTAGGCAACTGTTTGCCTAAGTGTTTGGAGATAGTATACCTTTCTTCTGTCCTTTCTGTAAATATATGCTTTCTTATTTCATTAATATCCCACATGCTGTTTCCTAGTATTCTCTGACAATATATTCTTTTTTTTTTTTTTTTTTTTTTTGTTTTTTGAGACTGAGTTTTGCTCTTGTCGCCAAGCTGGAAGGCAATGGCGTAATCTCTACTCACTGCAACCTCTGCCTCCTGGGTTCAAGCAATTCTCCCGCTTCAGCCTCCTGAGTAGCTGGCATTACAGGCATGTGCCACCATGCCTGGCTAATTTTGTATTTTTAGTAGAGACTGGGTTTCACTGTGTTGGCCAGGCTGGTCTTGAACTCCTGACCTCAGATGATCTGCCCGCGTGGGCCTCCCAAAGTGCTGGGATTACAACAATGATTTTCAGATTTCTTATACCTAATTATTTTCTTTCTAGATAACTCAAAATTTGTGGCTGATGTTTCTTCCAATAGGCGGTCTTGGAATTGACATTTTCCGTTCCCTCTGGAAGTTAACTTTGGACTCAGCTTCTTGTTTTTAAATTTAAAACTAAAGCATTTACAATTATAAATTTATGATAAAGTTCTAAATTGTTTACTCTTCACAGGATCTAAAGGAACTAAACCGAAATGAATAATTCTGTAGGAGACTATAGTTAATGTGATCTATCTTTGCAGCCATACACACACATCCCAACATACATAGTTAGTGGCTTCTTGCCTTTATTGTGGCTTCTGCAGAAGAGCCCAGATGTAAACTGTAAAGGAGACCTCAGATGATCCCCTAGGGAAGGTAGAAGGACTTGCCCTAGTCTTAGGTTCCACAGTAGGAAGCTGGGCAATCTTTGCCTTCTAGAGAAAAGAACGTTACTTTTGGCACATCCCTGGTGGTAAGTAGAGAAGTTCATCTCTTTTAGTGGGCAGGGGAAAAGATTACTCTGCCCGGAAGACATCTTTGGAAGGTTGTGATGATCAGAAATCTTCCTGGCATTGGTTTCTCACCCTTCCAACTATATGTATTTTGATTTCCAAATTCTCTGAACCTTCTTTGGTACTATAGGGGAGTGATAATTACAACCCAAAGCTAAGCTGGTGGTAAATTCTGTGAGACCTCAACTATTCAGTGTCTTTGTATTTTCTTTCTTTCTTTCGTAGTCTGTACCTTCTCTTTAGGGTTTCAAGTGAGAGGGGAAATACGCAACCAAATAGATGTGGTTCTCCTGGGATAATCTGTACTTGCCCCTTGTCTCGATCTTGGTTAGGTTGATGCTGATTTTCCTGAAGCATTTTTTAGGCAATACTCCTTAGAGCTTTTGTCTGTCATCCAAGTTCTTAAAGTTCATGTGTGTTGTCCCAGGAAAACTTTGCATGTTGATTAAGAGCCAGGTGGGGTCAGGATTAGGGATAGGTGGATTATCATTGTGTGGTTGTAGTTTGTATCAAGACGTAGGTGAATGTTTGGACCTTGATAATTGCTATTTAAGAGTTTTCCCCATTTTAGATTCTTCTATTGTGTTTGCAAATTGTTTTTACAACAATTTTTGTATTTTTCAGTTGTTTGGACAATTGATAGAGATGTGAAAGAACAGAGTAACTTTGAGATTTAAGGGCATACAAACTTGGACACAAGTAAGAGCATCAACTGCTTTGTGTTTCTTTTAAAGTCGGCTTACTAAGACCCTGTTCTACTCTTTAGTCCTGAAACTAAATTGGAGCACGTATGGTTCAGTTTGCCCTTTCTCCTTTCAAAACTGTCTAGGTTCTAACTGGTTTGAGAGTCATGTTGCAGGGCTTGGTACTGCAGTATGAACAAACCCTCTGGGCTCTAAATTTTACTGCAGATGGAAAGTTTTTTTGACTAGCAATGTTAGTTTCCACCTTGTAATTTTCCCAGTGTAACATATGCTGAGTGCCTTCCCTTTGATGTGTATGTACCTGGAGGCTAATGAGTAAAGAATGCTTTCAACAAACAGAACCAAAATAAATATGTCTTTGCACTAATTATATAGTATGTGAAGTAACATTTGACTTCAGGTTAATTTTCTTTAGGTTAAAGTAGTTCCAAGGACTCTTGATTGATTTCTTGAGCGATGCTGCTGAAGGTTTCAGTGTGTGGTGGATATGGGTATAAAACTGTCCGTATTTTTGAGGGATTAGTTTGAGCACGGACCACTAAGATTGGCTTGCAAGCATTCAAAATCATGATATATTTATGCCAGTCAGTGTATATGGTTTCCTCTTTGATAGCTACTAGGTAATAGACCCATCAGCTTTCCCTTATTAAAGTCATAAGATAAATTAAAACTGTATATATCAATTTGTTTTTTGAGAATCAGTTTTTTTACTTCATTTTATGTGAGAGTTTGAAAATGAATAAAGAGGCTGGTGCCATAAGTATTTTTATGAGTTAAGCGTGAGTCATGTATCATAGACGAGGTACCGTCCCAAGAGCTGCTTTCGCAATTGTAACTGAATTCTATTTCGCTCATATTTTCTAGGTAGATTTTGGTAATGTTTGAAATAATGAAATCATGGTTATTGATCAAAGGAAATTTTTATGTCAGTGGTTCTCAGGCTTTAAGGTACATAAGAAGCACTTGAGTATGCTTATCAAAAGTACAGATTCTTAGGCTCACCTTCTAAGGGTTATGATTCAGTAGATCTTTCATAGGGCCTAGAAATCTTTTTTACTCCTTTGCCCCACGTGGGTAATGCAACCCACATGCCCAGTTACATGCCCAGGGTGACGTAGTAGGTTGTAGGCTTTGGATTCTCAGTTCGTTTTATTTTCATTTTTATATTGAGAGTAATGAGCTAAGACTATACCAGCAAATAGTGGATTGTTAGGCTCTCAAATTCCAGCCTAAATTCTTGCTAAGGTTTTGAAATAAAGATGGATGTTAAGAGGTAGAGCAAGTTAATATTAATAGTGATAATCATTATACCACTTTGCAGTGTGTATAGCGTGTTATAGTTTGTAGTGTTTTTACATCTGATCTTCACATAGCCCTGTGAAATAGGAAGATACTAAGTTCATCAAGGGCAGGGACTACATCAAATACTATGTGTTTGTTGTATCGCTAGTCAAATGTTTGGTGGCACGTGGAAAGTATCCTTCAATAAATACTTGGCGAGTGAATAATGAATATTATATCTATTATGTTTTTGTTTTTTTGAGATGAAGTCTCACTCTCGCCCAGGCTGGAGTACAGTGGCATGATCTCAGCTCACTGCAGCCTCCACCTCCCAGGTTCAAGCTCTCTTGCCTCAGCCTCCCTAGTAGCTGGGATTATAGGCATGTGCCACCTTGCCCAGCTAATTTTTGTATCTTTTAGTAGAAATGGGGTTTCATCGTATTGAACAGGCTGGTCTCAAACTCCTGACCTCGTGATCCGCCTGCCTTGGCCTCCCAAATTGCTGGGATTACAAACATGAGCCATCATGTCCAGCCCTTTTTTTTTTTTTTTTTTTTGAGATGGCATCTTAATCTGTAGTCCAGTTTGGAGTGTAGTGGTGTAATCTCCACTCTCTGCAACCTCCGCCTCCCGGCTTCAAGCGATTCCCCTGCCTCAGCCTCCTGAGTAGCTGGGATTACAGGCATGTGCTACCATGCCCGGCTAATTTTTGTATTATTAGTAGAGACGGGGTTTCACTATGGTGGTCAGGCTGGTCTCGAACTCCTGACCTCATGATCCGCCCACCTCCGCCTCCCAAAGTGCTGGGATTACAGGTGTGAGCCACCACTCCTGGCCTACTATCCCTATTTTATAAGAGAGCAAATGGAAACTGAGTGTTGTATCAATGAATGGCAACCAGAATTAAATCCAGATCTTTGGATTCTAGATCTTGAATATTTCCTCTTTTTTTTTTTTGAGACTGAGTTTCACTCATGTTACCCAGGCTGGAGTGCAATGGCGCGATCTCGGCTCACTGCAACCTCCGCCTCCTGGGTTCAGGCAATTCTCCTGCCTCAGCCCCCTGA